AGTAACCAAAAAACGGTTAAACAAATCAAAATATGTTATATTTGAGATTCTTCAAATAGCCACCTTGATGACAGCTTTGCACACTCTTGGCATTCTCTCAACCAGCTTCATGAGGTAGTCACCTGGAATGCATTTCAATTAACAGGTGTGCCTTCTTAAAAGTTAATTTGTGGATTTTCTCTCCTCCGTAATGCGTTTGAGCCAATCAGTTGTGTTTTGACAATGTAGGGGTGTATACAGAAGATAGCCCTATTTGGTAAAAGACCAAGTCCATATTATGGCAAGAACAGCGCAAATAAGCAAAGAGAAACAACAGTCCATCATTGCATACTTCACCTTGTGGAGTCAAGATGGTAACTGTAAACTTCCAATCCATCACTAAGATTTCTCCCAGAAGATGTACAGTTATTGACTACTGTGAGGCTTTTTTGTTCGCTAGTATCATCCTTGTAATTCACTCAACATCAGTCCTCATAGATATTTTTAAGACTTTGTTATCTGTTAGCTGTCAGCTCTTTTTACTTTTTTTTAATCATTTGGCTTTCATCTGAAGTGGATGGCTTGGTTTCACAGACTGGGCAAAGTCTGTAAATGTTGTTCAAGATTGCATGTATGTTAAACATGTCTTCTTCTAGTCTGCTATTATTTTCTTTAATGAATTCTGTGCTTGACCATTATCAGTTCATACTGTATTGCAACATTGTAAATTATGTAATATAACAATTGCATTGAGGTACACAGCAGAATTTATAATTTGTATGAATTCAGCTTCCTGTGACCAAAGTGTCTTACAGTTTCATGTTTTCAACTTGGTCTGCTCTTATCCTATGTTGCTTGGATTAATTCAATGTTCTTGGCTTGTAACAATGTTTCTGACAATGCAGTAGAACTATAGAGATAAATACATACATACTGCATCTATCTCTGTGATTAGAAACAGGTCTGTGAAACCACCTAACATTAATTTGAGGGTAATGTGAATTTGAGTTTTGTTCCAGAGCAAATATTTAGAAAGTTTGCTCTAATAAAGTGAAATGTCTATATATATATTTTTTATCTCAATAAAAACTCAAATATGACTTAATTGTAGGGTTGTAAATCTTAATTGTTTAAAAAGCAGAATGTGGTGAATAAATGGAAGATTTTATAGAAACATATCTTTGTGGCTGGTCAGGTACAAAAAGTTGGTGGTGGAACGTTTACACCTTCAGAAGCATCCGGTTGTTTCAATGAAAATACATGCTTGTTTAGGTTAACATCTTCTGACTTTCTGGCGGAAGGATGCACTGTTGAGCGCAACATCCCGAGGGGTTCGTGCTGATTGTACGGAGATTGTGGTCCTCTGTAGCTCAATTGGTAGAGCATGGCGCTTGTAACGGCAGGGTAGTGGGTTCGATCCCCAGGACCACCCATACGTAAAAATGTATGCACACATTACTGTAAGTCGCTTTGGATAAAAGCGTCTGCTAAATGGCATATTATTATTGTGACAGCCGGTTAAATGGCGTCCCTAGACAAGGCAAGAACTAGATTTATGTCAGGAGAAGTGCAGTATTATCATAAGGAGAGTTATACTTGGAATACGGAGGAGGGAAAAAGAGGCAGAGGAGTTCTAAGAGAGAGAGGGAGGAAGAGGGTGAGCTTGAGTCAGTTAAAAATGGCGGGGAAAAGGGAGATGGTTTGTTAAAGAAGAATGGTAGAAAGTGTAAACAGAGTGAGTTGAAGACAGGAGGAGAAATGGAAGTGTGTGAGGGCGAAGTATCGGAGGTGGTAGGTGTGGTGAAGTTCTCTGAGCCCAAGGTTTGCACTGAGGGTCAGGATAAAGATGAGTCTGTGAAAGTAGGAGTGAAGTTTTTGGAAAAAGTGGACCCTTGCCTTTTAGCTGATCCATTTGTGGTTTCAGGGTAGGTGAAAACAGAGTTGGGTGCAGTGGAATTGGTGAGGGTAACCAGAAGTGGTCTAGTGATAGTTGTTTGTGTTTCTGCTGCACATAGGGAGCAGGCGCTCTGTGTTAAACGAATGGGGGCAAGATATGTGAATTGTTTTGCTCTCAAGAAAAGGGTGCCATTGAAAGGTGTGATTACTGGGGTAGCGGTAAATGTGAAAGCTGACGAAAATGAAGGGGAAGATTCCCGGTGTTTGTGATGCTCGTCGTTTGGTGCGACGCAGACAGGGTGGCGTGAGTGGAGAAACAGAAGAGTCATTGTCTGTTCTTTTGAGTTTTAATGTTGAGTCTTTGCCCGACAAAGTGATGTTAGGATATATAAGTTATCCGGTACGAGCTTTTGTGCTGAATGCTTATGGGCATGTGGCAGCAGTGTGTAGGAGGGAGGTTCCTAGGTGTGAGAAGTGTGCAGAAGGGCATGAGACAAAGGAATGTGTAGCATTGGGGAAAGTAGTGGTATGTGTTAATTGTAGGGGTGCCCATGGTGCTGGGGATCTGAAATGTCCGGTACGAGAGAGGCAGGTTGAGGTTTCCAGGTTTAGAGTAGTGCAGAAGTTGTCATATGCTGAGGCAGTGAAGAAAGTAGAGGAAGATGGATCAAGAGGGAGGGATACTGAGAGGAGTGGTGTGAGTAGTAGAGCTGTACCAGTACAGAGGGATAAACCTACAATATATATGTTTCAGTAAGATTGGATTTTTGGCATTTATAGCAATGGTTATCAACTGTACTGCAGGGATGGAACATAAGTCGCAGAAAATATAGGTTGTGGTGGCAACTGCAGAGAGGTATTTGGGTGTGCGAGATTTGACATCAGAAGAGTTACAGGGTGTGTTAAGTGGAGGTGTCCCATCCTTTCAGGCTGTTGGCCTGAAGTAGGTATAGATAGATTTAAATAGTGGAGTATGGTAGTTATTTTTATTTTATTTTTAATTGTGAGTGTAGTGTTATATGGGAGGGTATTTATTGTATTTTTTAAAGCAAAGTATTAGGGAGTTATACTCCAGTCTAGTAGGTGGCGATAATGCAACATTTATTGGATGCCAACTGCCGTTTAACCTCATCGAAGAATAAAGAAGAAGTTTACACCTTCTCTTGGAGCCACTCGGTGCTTATCTAGACACCAATTTCCGGTCCTCAGATGGTTCACAGAGGAAAACAAAGTCGAATGAAATGACTGTCAAAATGGCCGTCTTGGACGTTGTTTCCACAATTTATCTCGATTTCGTAATTTTGGAGATCAGAGACTTCAAGAGTTCTGCTAGAGCCCTGCTCTAGTTACAGATAGTAGGCTACACTTCACACTAGTAGTTAGACTATCAAAACAAGAGGTTATGATTATGTGCCGAATGAGACACGTGCTTGTAACCATTGCTTGAAATTTAAACTACATTAATTGCATTGATAAATCATCAGAGGAGGTGGTTTGTTCTGGTGTGATGGCAGTTTAGTCTTTTTCACCCCCACCCTAGCTAGTTGAGTAAACAAACCCTGTTGGCTAGCTATTTTCTCCAGTCCACCAACTAGGAGTAGGCTATGCATCAGACTAAATGAACTAGCTACACAGTATTAATCTGAAAAGTGTGCACTCTCAAAATCAATAAATGTGCACAATAATATGGACCATGTGTTTCATGGACTGGGTAGATTTGGTTCATAGTAAATCCCACTGTTTGCTGCATTATACTTAGCCTAGCCCAAAGGCCGGCAGATGGTTGTATTGAGTCGTTCCGTCTTGCCGTCCAAAGGGAATCTATGCAGCAGGCTATACACTCGTATCCCCCATGGACCGGTTCGTACATGAAACATTCTCCATTCAGGCTGCAAAGGCGTCGATTTCCTCCGTAACTCGTTTTAATGGCGAGAAGGCAGAAAAAACAAGGAAAATATGCATACTTTCATTGTGAAACACCGTTTTCCACCACCACCATTGGCTAATGCTAGTCCCTGTCCACGGTACTGTTTTGAAACGATCAGACCAGTATTGAAAAAACAGACTGCTGCAACCTGATTATCTGAACGTGAAACGCAACATCCGGGACTAGCATTAGCCACTGTAGCGTGATAGTGGAAAATTGTTTTTCATAAAGAAAGTACACCTATTTTCCCAGATTTTTAAAATATGTTTTTCCCTCTATCTTCTCGCCATTAAATCGAGTTAAGGAGGAAATTGACGCCTTTGCAGCCTGAATGGAGAATGTTTCATGTATGAACCGGTCCATGGGGGATCGGCTGCATACATTTACATTTAGCAGACGCTCTTATCCAGAGCAACTTACAGTTAGTGAGTGCATACATTTTCATACTGGCCCCCCATGGGAAACGAACCCACAACCCTAGCGTTGCAAGCGCCATGCTCTACCAACTGAGCTACAGGGGACTGTATATTATTATATATTATTATTATTTGTCATTTAGCAGACGCTCTAAGGAGCAATTAGGAGTTAATTGAGCAATTAGGGTTAAGTGCCTTGCTCAAGGGCACATCCACAGATTTTTCACCTAGTCGGCTCAGGGATTAGAACCAGCGACCTTTCGGTTACTGGCACAACGCTCTTAACCACTAAGCTACCTGCCGTATACATTCCCTTTGGATGCTGCCGGCCTTTGGACTACATTATACTGTACTAATGTTACATCATTTGATATATTATATCAGAAATTCTACAACAAAAGTTAGTGTATTTACAAATGTTATATAATGTATTTATTCTTATATTTTAGCCATAGCCAACCAAGGAGTACTTGTCTTTTCCCAGATAACTGAAGGGGTCTGGATATGATCTGCAGTGAGTACATTTCATATCTTTCAAAATTATATATCCTAAAAGGCTATTTTAATCATGATAATGCCATTGCCAACATACATTTTTTGCATGCAATAGCACTGATATAAGTGCTAATGATATAAGTGTTGTGTGTTGTATATTGCTCTGTTTGGAACATAGTGGGCAATGTATTTTATGTTTGTTTCTCATATGAAGGTTGCAGATGAACTTCTTGTCCAAGTTCTTCTGAAAGCCTTTGACAACATGGAGGAGAGTTGGGACAGCATAGATGAAGCAGGAGACTACTCAACAGATGCAACTAGACATTAACCAAGCCATTCATGTCAGAAAATCACTGAACACAAGGTGGGACATCTGTAAACAACATTACAAAGCAAACATGTAAATGTTTTATAGACCTTATTCCAACCTCAATAATAATCACTTATTCTCATTTTTGGTCAAAAGGGAGAAGAGATCCTGACTGACAAAACATATAAGAAGAGCATGGCAGCATTTAAGGTGAAGAATTATGAAGACTCTTGTCCTTTTTCGGACATCCACAGTCATTCAAAGAACATGACTCAAGATCTTCAACGAGAGGCGACAGAGAGGAGGGCAACAGAGGTCATCCAAGATAAGTGTTCCCCTTTCTTAGAAAGATTATGCCCTGTGGGCCTAACCAATGTTCAGGAAAGTTGTATTTTGGCTTCTGGATTTGATGTAAAAAGGAAGAGAGGAGGAGATTCTACTGCAGTGGGGGTCGGTACTATAGTTTCTTTCTCCCCGTTTTCAAGCAATCTGTCAAACAATATAAAGGGAACTGTCACCCATAGCCTTTGAGTCACAGCAATCTTAGCCGAGCCCAACTCTTCTCTAAGTGACCACGGACAATATTCAAGAGTGGTAGTGGATGAGAAAGCCTATGCTGATGTAGCCCATCAAATGTTACCACTTGCGGAAACCAAAAAAGGAAAAGAGAAAATATCATTTCATTCACTTTTTTTGCCTGTGATGGAAAAGCAACAAAAGCGAAAAGCTGGTCAGCCATATAAGAAAACTCTAGTGAAAATGACTAAAAATTCAGCAATTGCCCAAGAATGGGATTCAGATGCCACAGAAATATCCAGGGTGACTCAGTTTAAGGATAATCTAACACCCTCATGCAAACAAACGGATGAGAAAAAACGGGATGAAATGCTAGAATTTCCCCCAACTACCTCAAATGACACAAGCTTTGGATGCAATTCAACATCTGATGCTTCAAACCACCTTACTATTTCACATTCAGATAACATCATTTCTACATTTCAAATAACTGGACCAAGCACTTCTATGGAATTTATCCAACCCCCAAGAAGACAGAGAACTTCAAAGACCACACAACAAGCAGAACAATTCAAAATGAAAGAAGTGCCGGCGCTGAAATTGACCACTGCCACCAAGGGGCAAGATTCTCCTATAGAACAAGCTCTGGCACAAAACACATTGGTGCCGTCTGAAAGTGTCTGCTCGTTTGATGAGAACATAGAGAATGCATTGAAACTACAAAAGAGACCTGGAAAAAATAAAGCAATGACGTCCAACGCAGGAAATAGAAGGACTCAGGCGTTCAAAAGAAACAGAATGACTCCGAGCAGCCTCTTGACCACTCAGTCACAGAGTAGCAATGATACACCCCAAGAAAAATTTAATTTGGGACTCTCTCAAGATGCAACTCTACTACAATCATCTGATATAAAAATGGAGCCCAAATACTTGTCAGACACTGGTGTCTTGGATGTCAAGAACAATTTGAAGGAACACCGAAAAAAAGAACCCTCCAAAAACTTTACAGAAGGGAGTGTTAAAAGTCCTGGTATGATGTCAAGATGCTTTGACTTGTCTATCACTCAAAAAGACCAGGGGGCACCAAGTGACATGAAGAGGGAAATCAAATATAATGTAACTGCTAACACATCAGCTGTAGGAAACCAGGGGGAAATGACTCTAAGAACTCAAGAGCTCTCAGGACTGAAGAGTATTGAGGATGTGCACAAATTGAAGCGGCAAGCTGGTCGACCATTCAAGAAAAATACGTTGTTTAAAATGGCTAAACTGCTAGCGATAGCAGAGGAATGTGGATCTAATGATACAGAGAACTGTGGCATGACTGAAGAGTGTATTCCAAAATTCCAACAGGAGTTCCCTGCCTATCACCCCCTAAAGTCAAAAGTAAAGAAGAAGACAGATACAAAAACCTTGGCATCAAATTCACCTACAACCGCCTCAAGAAAATCCAGCAGAACATGTAAAACGACCCCAAAAACAGTTCAAAGAATTATGCAAGTCCTCACACACACGCTCACCCAACCATTGTTACCAGTTCCATCCAATCTTATTGAACACATTCTCAAATCAGAGGACACAACTCTTATCTCAACGGTCTCAGTAATTCCTCAATGTAGTGCAGATATTTCTCCTCAACAGGAAAGCCACGGATGTGGAAAACCCCTGAAGAAAAACACACAATTTTACAAAAACATGACCACTGCAGTCCTGCATCCTCCAATATTTGCACTAGATTCCAAGGCCCTTGCTGAGATTGTTTCCTTGTCATTCCCTGTAGAGACAAAGAAAGACATTGGATCCAAAAGTAAATGCAAACAGGTGCCTAGAACTCGTGGTGTATCAGAATTACTGTGTACAAATGGAATTCCTCAGGGAGATATACATACCCAAACTAATAGGGATGAGGTATATTCCAAGGCTTCAGCACCTACTGTGTCACACTCCCAGATATCACGAAAACGTGGGGTTCAACATAAAAAAGGTACAGAAAAAGCAGTTGTCCCATTATCTGATCAAACTGCCCTTCCTGTTTCAGATTGCCAGTTGCAGGTGCAAAATCGCAGTGCATCTCAGGAAATGCCTTTACTGCCATCAAAGATGAAGACAGAATCTGACACCGTAACCTGACACCTAGAACGGTTACAAAGAATAATCCAAAGACGTGTAAGGCAAGACAAAAACCTTTACCGAAAGTTGAGAAAGCACAGATGCCAACTCTGGATCCTTCCCTTGTAGTGGAACATATGCGTCCAGATGTGCCAGAAGTGGATCAAATGAGACAAGTGGAAGCAGTGATAGAGTCAGTAATTGAAGCCGTTCACAAACCACTGGAACATGTGGATCAAATAAAAAAGATTAAAGAAGAGGCCTGCAATGTTTCTGCATTAACTCTGGATCCTTCCCTTGGAGTGGAACATAGAACTCCTGATGTGCCACAAGTGGATCATATAAGACAAATGGAAGCAGTGATAGAGTCAGTGATCGAGGATCTACACAAAAAAGAGGTCAGCGATGTTTCTGCATCAGCACACTCAACCTTTCTTGCCTCAGATAACCTGTTTGAACAACATAACCATAGTACATTATCGCAATCACCTTTGCTGACATTAGAAATAAAGACAGAATTGGGCAGAATCAAGAATGCCATAACCAAAAAGTCAAAAATATGCATGAAAGAGAAACATACCTCAAAAGGCCTATTGAAAAATCATAAGAAAGCAGCTATGGCAACTTCAGGTCCTTCATCTGACGCAGTGCATGCGCCATCCAAAAGAGTTACGAAGAATTCCAATACTTGTCAAGAAAGAAAAAGACCTTCACAGAAAGTTGAGAAAGCACAGGTGCCAGCTCTGGATAGAAACTACTCTGGAGAGAAACATAAAAGTCCTGAAATCCCACAAATGGATGAAATTAGACAAGTGGAAGCATTTATAGACTCAGTGGTTGAGGATCTCCACAAACCACTCAATCCTAAGGGTCAACAAAAAAAGTTAAAAGAAGAGGCCAGTAATGATGCTGCATCGGAACAAACAACCTTTCCTGCCTCAGGTAACGTGTTGGAGCAGCATAACCATAGCACATTACCTCAATATTATTTTCTGTCCTCCGGAAAGACAAAATCAGGCTTGAAACATGCCATACCCAAATATGGCACAAAAAAAATTTGTCAAAAGGGAAACTCTCAAAACATGCTAAGAAAGCAGCTTTATTAACTTCAGATCCTTCTATTGGAGGTGAAGATAGATGTTTTGAAATGCCTCCCCACCTTAACCAAGCAGAGAAAGAAGGAAAAAGTGACGGAAAAACCAATAATGATGTAGTAAAGCATGAAAAATCAGTGACAGATGATCATTTGGAAACAGCAGCCCACAAACCACATGGGGCCAAGAAAGAAGCTAAAAAAAGAGGACTGCAGTGTTTCCAAACCAGAACAAGTAGAATCTACTACTTCAGACAGCCAGCTAAAACAGCATGACCACAGTGTATTAGAGCACGTTTCTTTGCTAGCATCAGAGGCAAAGACAGAATCAGGAATGGAACATATCATACCTGAAATGTCAACAACAAATAAGTCAAAAACATGCAGGAAAAGGAAACTCCCTTCCAATGCACCCCCAGGAAACGCTAAAAGAGCAGCTATGCTAACTTCCAATCCTTCTCTTGGAGCAGAAGTTGTATGTCTTGAAATGCCTCCCCACCTTACCCATGCAGAGCAAGGAGGAAAGAGTGATGGGAAAACCAATAACAATGTAGTTAAACATAAAAAAGAAACAGTGACATCAGTGATGGAAGATCATATGGAAACAGCCCACAAACGACGTATGGGGTCAAAAAAGAATCTGAAAGAAGAGGACAGCAATGTTTCCATGTCAGAACAAGCAGCAACTCTTACCTCAGATAAACATCCCAACCAAGTTCCTTCACTGGCATCAGAGATAAAGTCAGAATCTAACAGTGGACATGTCACACCCATGCAAATAAATATTTCTAAGGCATGCAAGAAAAGGAAGATACCCTCCAAAAAAAACTCAAAGATCACTGAAACTCCAACCCCACCAACTTCAAAACTTTCTCTTGGAGTAGAATATGGATATTCTGAAATGGCTACCACTTTCACACATGTGGACCAGGTTCAGAATATTATTGATACTCCAAAAAGCTCCAAAGTGAGAAAAGAAAATACTGGATCAAGCCGTCCAATATCCAATCTAAGAAATTCCAGACGGCCCTTCAAATCTAATTCACATATCACAACTGAGTCGATGCAAGATCAAGCAATTCTATCGGTTGCATCAGATCTCACCAATAACCCTACCAGTCCTGTATCAATAACAGTGTCCTCAATTGCAGTACAAGGACAGTTTACTGAATTAGTGAATGCTGACTGTATAGAGAAAAGATCACATAAAATAGGGAGGCCTCCTAAGACGATAAAACCTCAGAGACCAAAAGGTACAGGTCTTGATAAGAATATCACAGATGACAACATGTCTGTTAAATTCTTATCAGCATTTGTAAAAGAGGAACTCATTGAGGAAGAAAAAAGCCCAGAAAATATGGGGAAAGAAGAAGGCAAAGGGAAGAAAGGCAAAATTCTCAAAACAGACAATGTGAATCCACAAAGTAAACACAGCCAATCTCAGGTGAAGGATGGCAATGCATTAGCATACAACAAATTAATAGATGAAGCAGGGGGCTCTATATATATTGCAATAGACCCAATCAGTACTGTTATTCCAAAATGTAAAAAAGGTGGTCATTTTGCAAAAAATTTCATCCACCCTCAACGTCCCCAGTGACCAGCAATGCATTAATATGTCCCCAGAAAAAACATCTCTGTGTGTCAGCAATATATCAGAAATACACAGAAAACGAAAGGTTGACACCAGAAGTACTGATTTTGTTCATGCAGATATAAATGTCCTAAATCCTAAAGATGATCTTAGTGATAGCTCTGAATTAGGGGACTCATCCTTACTAGGGAATCAGAGACTGAAGAACAAGGGTAAGAAAAAATCCAAGACAATTACGGGTGAACCGACAGTGGCCATATCAGTTATAAAAGAGATGGTGGGGCAAGATTTCCAGACCACCATAGCAGCACTGAAAAATAAACAAGGTCGGCCATTCAAGAAAAGTACTTTGATGAGAATGGCAAAACGGCTGTCATGTGGACAGCAGAAGTCAAACACTAGCGGATAACTTTCTGTGAATAAGACACGGAGCTGCAAATCAAAGGGAACTTCTAATGGAGGGAAAATGCACAATTTGAACCCAACGTTAACAACCTCAATAAGGCACACTAAAGCATCCAAGGCAATGAAGATTGAAGACATTGTTCTTAAACAAGAGCAGGACGACATATGGGAGATCATTGATGTATCCAGCAACATTTTCTCCCCACAAACTGCAACTAATTCCCCCAGTTTTTCAGTGCAAGAATTTGGGACCTCCATATCTTCAGAAACAGTGTTCTCTGTTGATGCAAGGGCAACACAAGGAATCCAGCAAATTGAGTCTACCCAATTAACACCCCATCTCACAGAATTACCTCATAAAGTGACTGGCATGAAGAAGAGACGCAGGAGAAATAAAACTGGATGGGCTACAAAAGTGAAATCCAAACGACCTCTCTCCAAAGTGAACTGCAGGGATACACTTGATGTTTTGATTCAGTCTTCCATTGACAACACTGGACTCAACTCTAGCCTCTGTAATTTGTTAACGGAAAATGACACATTGGAAAGTGTTGAACAAGAGAAAGAATGCAGAGCACAAGAAGTGAAAGCAGTAACAAACGATTACAATAGAGTTCGTGTTGAGAAGGAGATCAACTGTGGAGATCAACCCCTAACAGCGCGTGCTAAATTACAGCATTCAAGTGTACTCCAACAAAATGTTAAGACAAGGAAACCTATGTCATGCCATTTCTGCCGTTGCTCATTTTGTCACATATCAGCATACACAATTCACAAGCGCATTCACACAGGTGAGAAGCCTTACAGGTGCCAGAAGTGCGGCAAGAGCTTTGCTCAGCTCTCCCAACTCAACTCGCACTCAAACATCCACAAACAACATGGACTCATGCAATGCCCATGTTGCGTCACTCAGTCTCCAAACAAAGATGACTTGATTGATCATTTAAAGATCCACATGAAGGGCACCAAGAGGTTAAGTTTGATTAATAAAACAAGAAGAGCCAGAGAAATTCAGATTCAACCTTACGCTGATTACATAGATTCCCCAGTCTCTCTTAATGGCAGGAAATCCCTTAGATGCTCCACTTGTTTGAAATATTTTTTCAATAAGGCCACATTGAAGATGCCCCTGCAAACACACAGTGGAGTGAGGCGTTTCACCTGCAAAGTCTGTGGTAAGATGTTTAGCAAGTTCTCAAGTTTCAATGCACATGAAAAAACACACTGGCCTGTTAAACCGTATGCTTGCTCTGTGTGTGGAAAAGGCTTTGTTCTGCTTAGGGAGCTTAAAACCCACTCTCATATGCACTCAGGAGAGATGCCTTTCTTCTGTAACCACTGTGGTGAGGCCTTTAGCAACTTCTCATCCTTGCGCACACATCAAGTCTCCAATGTGTGTTTTGAGGCTAGATATGAAGGAGATGGAAACAAGGTTGACATTGAGGGTTTCCTGGTGGAGCAAAGGGCTGATGGGCAGATTAATACCCCTATGTACTTTAAATGTCAGATTTGCAAACAACTTAATCGTCGCTGGTGTCAGTACATTCTTCATCTTCAAAACACACACTAATATCAAGCCAAACCTTTGTGAGGTCTGTGGACAACGGTATGATCAGGTCACTGAATTATGTGTTCATTGTAAAGTTTGCTGCAAATCAAGTGGAGAGGAGAGGGCATGCATTTCATCCTTATCACAGGTCTGGCATGAACCCCAATCTCTGCAGAATCAGACGCCTGAGCCTGAAATTGATTCTCTGTACAATGATAATCAGGAAATGTTATCTACTGATGACCAGCATCCCCAATGCACAGAGCCTGAGCCCCTGCCACCTCTGGAAACTATGGAGGAGTATTCCTCAGATGTGCTTCCACAAAACCCCAAACCTGCTTGCCAGACCCCAGGCAATGGGTTAGAGATTAATCAACCTTCTCCCTCAAACTCCATGTGTGCAAGCCCTGCCCCATCTTCCCCTTCTGTAATGAGCTGTTATTCTGTATGTGTGGTACAGCCTGTAGGTGTTCGCTCTCGTTTACAGACCCATGCCCCTTGTGACAGGTATTCATGTGGACAATGTGGAAAATCCTTTAACCAGTGGAACAAGCTCTGGTTGCATCAGGGACTACACCGAGAAAAACGTTGTAGCTTCTCATGCACTCAGTGCAATTTAGAGTTTAGCTTCTTTGGCTCCTATAGGGAGCACATGCAGGAACATGCAGCACAGAGACCATATGCTTGTCCATTATGTCCCAAATCCTATGTCATTGAAGAAGACTTAAATACCCATCTGGGCGAAAATCACCAGCCACGTGAAAGCCTGAAATGTGACACGTGTGAAAAGGGGTTCACCAGTTTCAGAAACTTCAAGAAACATCTTCTTTTACACAGAGGGGCTAGCTCGCACTACTGTCTCCCTTGCATGCTCCCATTTCCTAGTAACCGAGCCTTACAGAATCACTTGAAGGCTCACAAAGCCCGCCCTGTTATCCCTCTCCCTGAAGGGCCATTGGAACCACTTCTATTTCCATATCGCTGTAGAAAATGTAATGCCAGATTTACAACCACAGACTTGCTCCAAGCCCATCAGGTTTGCCATCTTATTGGGGGAAAGAAAGCATATAGCAGCAGTTCAGCTAATTATGTTTCTGCATCCCTTACCTCCAAGCTTTCAAACAAACCAAGACAAAGATTCACGCTGCTATCCCCTCAGACAATACCTAGTTTTCCTCTGTCAAATAAAAGGAACATGTATAGGTATCCTCACCCTGATCGTCTGTATGTCGTCCCTAAAATATCCTCACAGCCACCAGTCATTATTTCAGACACAGAACAAGAGCCCCAAGAGATTCTAAACATTAGCTTATCCTCAGTCCACGACTCGCCCCGTAACACTATGTCCCTTGAACATGAAGGGCAAATCAGCCCTAGCAATGATTGTTGTGAGGCAAGCAACTCCTCATGTGTCCTTATTGATGAACCTACTCAATGTACGCCAAAGCCCCAAACAGACACCACACACATGCCGACACATGAACCACCCTCACCCTGTCCCCTGGATAAAGGTCCTCAGAATGTACCACCCCAAATACGAGACAAGTCTAAGGGTGATCATGATGCTTTCTTTAGAGCCTCAACATTTGTGATACCAAGGGGCAAAACGTGGGGGTAAGATGCCTTTGAGTGTGCTGATTGTTGGGTAACATTTAGCGATGTCTCAGAGCTACATGAGCATTACGTACATCACGCCAGGGGGGTGAAGTGAAAGTCAATACATATTTTCACAATTCCGCTAATGTATATCATTGTTTTTGATGGTATTGGTCATTTACATCTGAAGAGTACGATATCTGTTTCTGAGTTAACCATGGTTGTATTAATACCTATAGCAATGGTTAAAGGAATAATCCACTCAAAACCCCTAATTCCTATGATTTACATTGTTAAATAATGCTTTTTGCATTTCGTCGTTATAATAAGGCAGGAAGCAATATGTGAAAATTGTTGTGGAAATCTGTTGGAGCTCAAGTCGACTACAAGACCCACAATGCAATATGCGCTCTCTCTGGACAGGTTGGCTGGCTAGCTACAAAACATACAGTGGGGAAAAAAAGTATTTAGTCAGCCACCCATTGTGCAAGTTCTCCCACTTAAAAAGATGAGAGAGGCCTGTAATTTTCATCTTAGGTACACGTCAACTACAAACTACAACAAAATCACATTGTAGGATTTTTAATGAATTTATTTGCAAATTACGGTGGAAAATAAGTATTTGGTCAATAAGAAAAGTTTCTCAATACTTGTAATATACCCTTTGTTGGCAATGACACAGGTCAAACGTTTTCTGTAAGTCTTCACAAGGTTTTCACACACTGTTGCTGGTATTTTGGCCCATTCCTCCATGCAGATCTCCTCTAGAGCAGTGATGTTTTGGGGCTGTCGCTGGGCAACACGGACTTTCAACTCCCTCCAAAGATTTTCTATGGGGTTGAGATCTGGAGACTGGTTAGGCCACGCCAGGACCTTGAAATGCTTCTTACGAAGCCACTCCTTCGTTGCCCGGGCGGTGTGTTTGGGATCATTGTCATGCTGAAAGACCCAGCCACGTTTCCTCTTCAATGCCCTTGCTGATGGAAGGAGGTTTTCACTCAAAATCTCACGATACATGGCCCCATTCATTCTTTCCTTTACACGGATCAGTCGTCCTGGTCCCTTTGCAGAAAAACAGCCCCAAAGCATGATGTTTCCACCCCCATGCTTCACAGTAGGTATGGTGTTCTTTGGATGCAACTCAGCATTCTTTGTCCTCCAAACACGATGAGTTGAGTTTTTACCAAAAAGTTATATTTTGGTTTCATCTGACCATATGACATTCTCCCAATCCTCTTCTGGATCATCCAAATGCACTCTAGCAAACTTCAGACGTGCCTAGACATGTACTGGCTTAAGCAGGGGGACACGTCTGGCACTGCAGGATTTGAGTCCCTGGCGGCGTAGTGTGTTACTGATGGAAGGCTTTGTTACTTTGGTCCCAGCTTTCTGCAGGTCATTCACTAGGTCCCCCCGTGTGGTTCTGGGATTTTTGCTCACCGTTCTTGTGATCATTTTGACCCCACGGGGTGAGATCTTGCGTGGAGCCCCAGATCGAGGGAGATTATCAGTGGTCTTGTATGTCTTCCATTTCCTAATAATTGCTCCCACAGTTGATTTCTTCAAACCAAGCTGCTTACCTATTGCAGATTCAGTCTTCCCAGCCTGGTGCAGGTCTACAATTTTGTTTCTGGTGTCCTTTGACAGCTCTTTGGTCTTGGCCATAGTGGAGTTTGGAGTGTGACTGTTTGAGGTTGTGGACAGGTGTCTTTTATACTGATATCAAGTTCAAACAGGTGCCATTAATACAGGTAACGAGTGGAGGACAGAGGAGCCTCTTAAAGAAGTTGTTACAGGTCTGTGAGAGCCAGAAATCTTGCTTGTTTGTAGGTGACCAAATACTTATTTTCCACCACAATTTGCAAATAAATTCATAAAAAATCCTACAATGTGATTTTCTGGATTTTTTTTTCTCAATTTGTCTGTCATAGTTGATGTGTACCTATGATGAAAATGACAGGCCTCTCTCATCTTTTTAAGTGGGAGAACTTGCACAATTGGTGGCTGACTAAATACTTTTTTCCCCACTGTAGCTACACACGATAATACAAGTCAATATCAGCATGTGAAGTAGCTAGTTATCTGTAAAATTCCTGAAACACACTGCACTATCAATTTAGGAGTGACAATCTCGCCATGTTCAACCTGGTAGAGATTGTGTCTTACTCAAAACAGTGAGTGAATGAGGTTGCTATGGCAACACAGTGGCCCTGCCTGCGCTGTGAAGGTCACTTTGCTTGATGGTAGTTGAAGGAAGAAAGGATATTGATCTGACGGTGCACTTTGAGTTTGAATGAAATATATACTTTGTCATGACGATATAGACAGATGGATGTGCTAGACTAGCATGTTGATTTGGCAATCTGGACTGCAGGTAATTGTTTTAAAAGCATTATGAAATGTGCTAGTTTGTTATTGCCTATCTCCAATGACGAGAACTTTATCGTGATGACGCGGCGGCACAACACGATTTCGGACCAGAAGTTAAATCATGCCATGGTGAAAATAAACATTTTACCCACTCATAGTCTGTTATATCACCAAATACAGAGGAGTTTCATTCCTTGAGTGAATTATTTCTTTAACATTGACTTTACCTTTTTTTTCTTTACAAAAAATTACTAATATTTATATTATTTGAATATATCCGGGGAATGTGTTTTTGTATTTGTATTTTTACAGTACTACAAATGTGCCTTTTGAATAGATTACAAACGTGTCATACTTTAAACAGTTACTCCAATCTGTCCTGCTGCTGTTGGCAAATTGTATTTGTTCTCTTTTTGGAATAGCTGTATGTACAGTGCATTCTGAAAGTATTCAGACCCCTTGACTTTTCCACATTTTGTTACGTACAGCCTTATTCTAAAATGGATTAAATTGTTTTTTTCCCCCTCAACAATCTACACAAAATACACCATAATGACGAAGCAAAAACAGGTTTTTAGATTATTTTGCAAATGTATAAAAAAAAAAATAATAATATCACATTTACATAAGTATTCAGGCCCTTTACTCAGTGTTTTGTTGAAGCACCTTTGGCAACGATTACAGCCTCGAGTCTTCTTGGGTATGACGCTACAAGCTTGGCACACCTGTATTTGAGGAGTTCCTCCCATTTCTTCTCTGCAGATCCTCTCAAGCTCTGTCATGTTGGATGGGGAACGTCGCTGCACAGCTATTTTCATCTCTCCAGAGATGTTTGATCGGGTTCAAGTCCGGGCTCTGGCTGGGCCACTCAAGGACATTCAGAGACTTGTCCCAAAGCCGCTCCTGCATTGTCTTGGCTGTGTGCTTAGGGTCTTTGTCCTGTTGGAAGGTGAACCTTCACCCGGTCTAAGGTCCTGAGCGCTCTGGAGCAGGTTTTCATCAAGGATCTCTCTGTACTTTGCTCCGTTCATCTTTCCCTCGATCCTGACTAGTCTCCCAGTCCCTGCCGCTGAAAACATCCCCACAGCATGATGCTGCCACCACCATGCTTCACAGTAGGGATTGTGCCAGGTTTCCTCCAGACGTGATGCTTGGCATTCAGGCCAAAGAGTTCAATCTTGGTTTCATCAGAGCAGAGAATCTTGTTTCTCATGGTCTGAGATTCTTTAGGTGCCCTTTGGCAAACTCCAAGTGGGCTGTCATGTGCCTTTTTACTATGGAGTGGCTTCCTTCTGGCCACTCTACCATAAAGGCCTGATTGGTTGAGTGCTGCAGAGATGGTTGTCCTTCTGGAAGGTTCTCCCATCTCCACAGAGGAACTCTGGAGCTCTGTCAGAGTGACCATCGGGTTCTTGGTCACCTCCCTGACCAAGACCCTTCTCCCCGATTGCTCAGTTTGGCTGGGCGGCCAGCTCTAGGAAGAGTCTTGGTGGTTCCAAACTTCTTCCATTTATCAATGATGGAGGCCACTGTGTTCTTGGGGACCTTCAATGCTGCAGACATTTTTTGCTACCCTTCCCCAGATCTGTGCCTCGTCACAATCCTGTCTCGGAGCTCTGCGGACAATTCCTTAGACCTCATGGCTTGGTTTTTGATCTGACATGCACTGTCAACTGTGGGACCTTATATAGACAGGTGTGTGCAAATCATGTCCAATCAACTGAATTTACCACAGGTGGACTCCAATCAAGTTGTAGAAACATCTCAAGGATGATCAATGGAAACAGGATGCACCTGAGCTCAATTGCAAGTCTCATAGAAAATACGTTTTTTGTTTTTATAAATTTGCAAACATTTCTTAAAAACCTGTTTTTGCGTTGTCATTATCAGGTATTGTGTGTAGATTTTAGAATAAGACTGTAACAGAACAAAATGTGGAAAAAGTCAGGGTCTAAATTTACTTTCACATTTTAGTCATTTCGCAGACGCTCTTATCCAGAGCGACTTACAGTTAGTGAGTGCATACATTATTTTTTTATTTTTTTCATACTGGCCCCCCGTGGGAATCGAACCCACAACCCTGGCGTTGCAAACGCCATGCTCTACCAACTGAGCTACATCCCTGCCAGCCATTCCCTCCCCTACCCTGGGCCAATTGTGCGCCGCCCCATGGGTCTCCCGGTCGCGGCCGGCTACGACAGAGCCTAGATTCGAACCAGGATCTCTAGTGCCTTAGACCACTGCGCCACTCGGTGACCTAAATACTTTCCGAATGCACTGTACATAGTAAACAAATAATAATAATACATTGTATATATTGTAACACACTCTAAGGGTGTATTCACATAAAGTCCTCTTTTAAAATAACCGATCTCAGTCTTCTTTAAAGTGAAAAAAAAAAAGAGCAAAAAAAATGCAGTTCTCTTTGTATTCACACTGCCCTTGCCTTTTTGAATGAGGACTCAACTCTTTTGCCAGTTCACTTCACCTATTTTGTGGACCGAGTCCTCTTTGCATTCACATTGCTATGTTTTTAGAAAGGAACCAACATCTTTTTCCAACATTCACTCAATGCACTCTGGGTTTTTACAAAGTGCAGGACAAGCCATTCAATCATAATGTGTTATCGGACAGCTAGATATACCTACATTTTGGAAGCTAATAGATTGCATTTAGTTCAAATATGAAACATATTAATTGTATACTATTAACTTAAACATACTATTAACTTGTAAATACTATTGGTAACAGAACAAATAGCAATAGAATAACTGCAGATTAAATAATGCTGTAATTGAAAATTGTACACCCAATGTAGGCTACTGCCCCATTAAGAGCTAGAATAGATGTTGTACCCTAGGTTGTGATTCTCACCAAAATGTTGTCTTCTCACACTATTCAAACCCCACAATCTTAGCATATAGAGCACATATTGCAAACAAATAATCTGAACTAAAAACTCTACACATTTTGTGCATCCTTTACAATCACTAGTCAATATCCAAAACAAAGCACTTTTTTTTTCATAATCTCTTTTTTAAATCCAGCTAGGCAAGTCAGTTAAGAACAAATTCTTATTTACAATAACGGCCTACCCCGGCCAAACCCGGACGACGCTGGGCCAATTGTGCGCCGCCCTATGGGACTTTCAATCACAGCCGGATTGTGCTACAGCCTGGAATCAAACCAGGGTTTGTAGTGACGCCTCTAGCACTGAGATGCAGTGCCTTAGACCGCTGCGCCACTCGGGAGTATATGGCAGGGGAAACGGTGTTCCTGTAATCTAGTGTGTGGTGGGGGAGCTTTGTGTTCACATTGTCCTAAAAATTCAAGCGAACTGAACTCAGACCACCTCTCGAGATGGTCTCAGTTCGGTTCGCTTCGGGGGCTCTTTGAGTGGTCTGAGTTCCTTTGGAGTGTTCACACTGTGCAAAAATGTTTGCGAACCACCCTGAGTTCACAAAAATTAGCTGAAAGGGAACAAGTGTGAAAACATCCTATGTTGTGCCCTTTGGGGAAACGGTTAGATCTGCTTTCCAAACAGTCAATGGTTTGGTAAATGGTGATTACTTAACCATCTTTGATTTCTGGAAATGTGCAGGGTGGTTTGGCACAGTATTGTAATCGGTCATTTTCAAATGTCAAAGATGTCACTGGACATTCAGTAAGCATTACTCATTGAATCTTGAAGCACTGTGTGCATATACAACAAAATTATTGTCAAAAAAAAGGTGTGATGGAAAGTATTTGTTATATTGATTCTGTACTGATAAGTTTTCATTCTTTAGATGTCCATCAATGCAAAAGTTGTAGTTTTTTTACTTTTTATTTACAGTAGTCTTACAATAAAAGTTGATCAGGAGTATCTTGACTTTGACTTTTGTGTTGTTTCCTCTGAAGTTTCTCCACAGTAACCGTGTTTCCATCCACAGTTTTTATGCAAGTAAAGTCATGCGTTATAAAAAAATAATCAAGACAGGGTTGATGGAAGCATGGTGTCGGTACAGACAATTTGTTCGTTCAACATGGTGCAATCTTTTTTGTGTTGGTACAATTAATTATGCCACAATTGCAGTGGAAACTCCTTTATGGGCAAATATTGATGTAATAAACCATCATGTCAAAGTAAACTTGGAGTCATGCGATGACATGCTACGTTGTACTTACCAGTGCGATGTAGAAAAGCATTGGGTTTATAGGCAGATTAAATAACTGATGAACTTCATGGTGGTTAAGTGATAGACGGTGATGAACTTGATGCACATTTCCAATAAATAGCAAGAGTTTTATTTACCCTGAACAAAAATATAAACGCAACATGTAAAGTGTTGGTCCCATGTTTCATGAGCTGAAATAAAATATCCCCGAAATGATCCATACTCACAAAAAGCTTATTTAGCTCAAATGTTGTATCAGTTTACATCCCTGTTAGTGAGCATTTCTCCTTTGCCAAGATAATCCATCCACCTGACAGGTGTGGCATATCAAGGAGCTGATTAAACGGCATGGTCATTACACAGGTGCACCTTGTGCTAGGGACAATAAAACCGATCGAACATCTCTGGAGAGACCTGAAAATAGCTGTGCAGCGATGCTCCCCATCCAACCTGACAGAGCTTGAGAGGATCATGTAGCGTCATACCTAATAAGACTCAAGGCTGTAATCGCTGCCAAAGGTGCTTCAACAAAGTACAGAGTAAAGGGTTTGAATACTTTTGTAGATGTGATATTTCCGTTTTTTATTTGTAATACATTTGCAAAAATGTCTTTTTTTGTTGTCATTATGGGGTATTGTGTGTAGATTGATGAGAAAATAACACATTTAATCAATTTTAGAATAAGACTGTAATGTAACCAAATGAGGAACAAATCAAGGGGTCTAAATACTTTCCGAATTAACTGTACTTCCATTCATTTTTTCAATTGGTACCGGGGGACCTTCAGACGAGTCTTGTGAGGCCTGCGGGTGTTCTAGAGCAAAACAACCGAGTCTCACCTTTCGTCAGAGGGGTGTGTTCGGACGCTACAGACAGAAGTTGTCAGATCGGCTGTACCGACTTCAGATGAGTCCCAAGACGCTAATTCGATTTCTGCCGGGGCGAGGACATCGACTCTAGGGGGTTAGAGGACGCAACATTGTAAATGTCCCATTATGGCGTCTGTGAGAGCATGGGCAGCGCCGTTGAGGCCATCTCCATTTTGAACTACTCAATTTTCTTCTACTACTACTATGAGTTGTAAAACAAACAAAGTAGTATGTTGTTTGAACAGGTATAAAGCCAATGTTGCCGTTTACTGCCACCTGTAGTTATGGAATGTTTTCTAACGAGTATAATTAATTGGCTGATGCCTCCTGGTGGCCTGGATGGAATCATGTGATCCTTCCTTAACCAATAGGAAGTCCCACCCAGTTGACTACTTCAAGATGGTGAAAGTCCTCAATGGCGCTGTCCATGCTAAAACTGGCTTTTGGTGTCCTCCATATCTGTGATTGAAACACTTTGGTGGGAAAATGTGCATGTTTTTTTAATGCAAATTTGAGAATATTCACATAAATCCGTTGCCAATTGGATGGACAACTAGCTTATGATGATTGTCATGTCATATCTATGATCATAAAATAAGAATAACAATTCACAGATCTTTTTATTGGATTGACAGACTTGACAGATTATTACTTACTCACAAAGCCCTTTATACAATTCCCCTACCACAACTGTTCTGTCCCACTAATATACATTTTGATGTTAAGCAGTGACGGCTAGAGTGTGCCTCTCTGTGAACTTTATCAGCTAGGCCTTGATAGGGTGCCTTTTGTAGAGGTGGATGACAAGGGAGAGAGGATATTAACACAGGTAGATTTGTTCGGTTGATCTTTGGGATCTGTTACTATTCTGAAAAGATTTGTGCTCAGCCAAATATGCATTATGTCTTGTTTACGAATGGAGTGAAAAACGAAATGGTTTCTTTATGGCAACTTCTCCTCCCTTTTTTAAACTTGGGTGAAAAATGTGACATAGAACATAGTGAGTGAACTAGACCGCCACCCTAAGCCTGCATGGTGGTATGTTGATTTACATGGTCTCCATGATGGCCTTAGCCTGATCACGGATTTTGAGGCCGTAGGGGTTGAACCAGGTGCGCAGTTCCTCCATCTTGCCCTCGAGGGTGGTGCGGAGGTTCTCGGTGGTCTTCGCCAGCTGCTCGCGGACCTCCTCAGCCCGGGACTCAAGCTTGTCCTTCACCTGATATAATAAATGACATTTAGTTACAGCTAGTTGTAATATAATATATGCCATGTAGCAGACACTTTTATCCAAAGCGCCTACAATCATGCATTCATTTATTTGTATGGGTGGCACCAGCGGGAATTGAACCCACGATTATTGCCATTGCAAGTACCATGCGCTACTTACTGAGCCAGACAGTGCTCACCTTTTCAGCCTGGGTCGTCAGCAGTTTGCTGAGGGTAGTCATCTTATCCACAGCGCGCTCACGGATCTGGACATAGTAAGGCTGAAAGCGATCCCTCACGGATTCCACCCTGGAGGTGGTTCGAGACTGAAGCTCCTCAAAATAGGTGGTCACTTTGCTAAAAGAGAGTGGAGAGGAAGGAGATGTGAAAGACAGCTACTGTACAAAGGAAGGTAAAGCATTCCATTTCATTAGAACTTGTGTTTGCAGTTAAATTAGTCCCTCTAAGTGCATGACTATTCATGTGACAGATATTATGAAACATTTAGACAGAATAAGACAATGCTTTAAATCTAAAGACTTCAATACTCAATCTAAAGATTTAAATACTTTCAATCAGACTTCAATACTTTAATTGATCTAGTCCGGCAAACTGCTCCTGCCTTCTCTCTGTCACACCTGGAGATCTCCTGGGTGTCCTTGCTCAGGCGCTTGTTCAGCTTGCGGCTATATGTGTTGACCCTGTTCCTGACGTCATTGGCATTCTGCTCCAACATGGTCTGGAGTTCCTGGGTGTACACTGTGGTACGGTCCTTGGCTTCAGTCATGTGAGCCTGCAACTTGTTAAGGAGGAGCTGCATGTCCTTGCCCAGACGTTCAGCGGCGTCCTTAGCGAGAGGGCCCAGTTTGGTCTTCATATCATCACTGTACATGTTGAGCTCAGACATGGTGTCTGTGATCAGGGTACTGGGAGGGGAAACAGACAGGTTTGTTACCACAGAGATCCTATTAAATTACTATTTAATTACTATTACATTTGTAATGTAACAATGTAAACACCTGCTCTTTCCATAACATACTGACCAGGTGAATCTAACGCAACTAAATATTAGGAAGGTGTTCTTAATGTTTTGTACACTCAGTGTATATTTGTTAAATACATCAGAATATGTGAGTGTTATTCTTTGGACTGGGTGAAAATATAAAAATAAATGTTATTTATTTATTTATTTAACCTTTATTTTAACAGGGAAGACATATTGATATGTAGGTCTCTTTTACAACGCGCCCTGTATATACAGTCGTGGTAAAACGTTTTGAGAATGACACAAATACTAATTTTCACAAAATCTGCTGCCTCAGTTTTGATGATGTCAATTTGCATATACTCCAGAATGTCATGAAGAGTGATCAGATGAATTGCAATTAATTGCAGTCCCTCTTTGCCATGAAAATTAACTTAATCCCCAAAAAACATTTCCACTGCATTTCAGCCCTGCCACAAAAGGACCAGCTGCCATCATGTCAGTGATTCTCTCGTTAACACAGGTGAGAGTGTTGACGAGGACAAGGCTGGAGATCACTCTGTCATGCTGATTGAGTTAGAATAACAGACTGGAAGCTTTAAATGGAGGGTGGTGCTTGAAATCATTGTTATTCCTCTGTTAACCATGGTTACCTGCAAGGAAACACGTGCCGTCATCATTGCTTTGCACAAAAAGGGCTTCACAGGCAAGGATATTGCTGCTAGTAAGATTGCACCTAAATCAACCATTTATCGGATCATCAAGAAGTTCAAGGACAGAGGTTCAATTGTTGTGAAGAAGGCATCAGGGCGTCCAAGAAAGTCCAGCAAGCGCCAGGACTGTCTCCTAAAGTGGATTCAGCTGTGGGATCGGGGCACCACCAGTGCAGAGCTTGCTCAGGAATGGCAGCAGGCAGGTGTGAGTGCATCTGCACGCACAGTGAGGCGAAGACTTTTGGAGGATGGCCTGGTGTCAAGAAGGGCAGCAAAGAAGCCACTTCTCTCCAGGAAAAACATCAGGGACAGACTGATATTCTGCAAAAGGTACAGGGATTGGACTGCTGAGGACTGGGGTAAAGTCATTTTCTCTGATGAATCCCCTTTCCGATTGTTTGGGGCATTCGGAAAACACCTTGTCCGGAGAAGACAAGGTGAGCGCTACCATCAGTCCTGTGTCATGCCAACAGTAAAGCATCCTGAGACCATTCATGTGTGGGGTTGCTTCTCAGCCAAGGGAGTGGGCTCACTCACAATTTTGCCTAAGAACACAGAAATGAATAAAGAATGGTACCAACACATCCTCCGAGAGCAACTTCTCCCAACCATCCAATAACAGTTTGGTGACAAACAATGCCTTTCCCAGCATGATGGAGCACCTTGCCATAAGGCAAAAGTGATAACTAAGTGGCTTGGGGAACAAAACATCGAAATTTTGGGTCCATGGCCAGGAAACTCCCCAGACCTTAATCCCATTGAGAACTTGTGGTCAATCCTCAAGAGGTGGGTGGACAAACAAAAACCCACAAATTCTGACAAACTCCAAGCATTGATTATGCAAGAATGGGCTGCCATCAGTCAGGATGTGGCCCAGAAGTTAATTGACAGCATGCCAGGGCGGATTGCAGAGGTCTTGAAAAATACCTTGCAAATATTGACTCTTTGCATAAACTTAATGTAATTGTCAATAAAAGCCTTTAACACTTATGGAATGCTTGTAATTATACTTCAGTATACCATAGTAACATCTGACAAAAATATCTCATAACACTGAAGCAGCAAACTTTGTGAAGACCAATACTTGTGTCATTCTCAAAACTTTTGACCACGACTGTACAACATAAATATACACATTATATCCAAACTATATATGTACACACATTAAAATACAAAATCACAGTAATGGGAAGCACAAATAAAACAGCAAATCACCCAGAAAAACAGATACATTCAAATATGTCCCCAATCAATACATTAAATTGCATGAACGGCACCAGAACATCAAGATGAAATGTATTTAGAATTTTGTTCCAGCAATACGGTGCATTAAAATTAAAGCAGATTTACCTAGCTCGGTGGAGACCCTAGGAACCTCAAGAGTTAAATAATCCTGTGAACGGGTTAGACAACTCAGGTGCCTATACTTCAACAGGTTATATAAGACAGAAGTTTATGAAGTAGGGCCTTGTCAACAAAAAGGGAGTAATGTAGACATCTACAGGTCTTTAGCGAAGTCCAGCCAACTTTTTGATACAGGATTTAGTGATGAGTATCAAAACTGTAACCTGTAACAAAATGAAGGCCACTATGGTAGATGGCATCCAAGGATTTAAGAGTAATAGCAGCTGAACTTTGATAAATAATATCACCATAATCAAGAACAGATAAAAAGGTTGACTGAATAATCTGCTTCCTACTGCTTAGAGAAAGGCACGATCTGTTTCTGTAGAAAAAGCCAACTTAAAATCGTAGCTTTTTAACCAGCTCATCTATATGTTTTTTAAACATCACATCCATATCAATCCAAATGCCATGCGGGAACACGTTCGATTGGAGAACCATCTAATGAGTGAACATGTACAGTGGGGAGAACAAGTATTTGATACACTGCCGATTTTGCAGGTTTTCCTACTTACAAAGCATGTAGAGGTCTGTAATTTTTATCATAGGTACACTTCTACTGTGAGAGACGGAAAAAAAAAATCCAGAAAATCACATTGTATGATTTTTAAGTAATTCATTTGCATTTTATTGCATGACATAAGTAATTGATCACCTACCAACCAGTAAGAATTCCGGCTCTCACAGACCTGTTAGTTTTTCTTTAAGAAGCCCTCCTGTTCTCCACTCATTACCTGTATTAACTGCACCTGTTTGAACTCATTACCTGTGTAAAAGACACCTGTCCACACACTCAATCAAACAGACTCCAACCTCTCCACAATGGCGAAGACCAGAGAGCTGTGTAAGGACATCAGGGATAAAATTGTAGACCTGCACAAGGCTGGGATGGGCTACAGGACAATAGGCAAGCAGCTTGGTGAGAAGGCAACAACTGTTGGCGCAATTATTAGAAAATTGAAGAAGTTCAAGATGACGGTCAATCACCCTCGTCTGGGGCTCCATGCAAGATCTCACCTCGTGGGGCATCAATGATCATGAGGAAGGTGAGGGATCAGCCCAGAACTACACGGCAGGACCTGGTAAAATTACCTGAAGAGAGCTGGGACCACAGTCTCAAAGAAAACCATTAGTAACACACTACACCGTCATGGATTAAAATCCTGCAGCGCACGCAAGGTCCCCCTGCTCAAGCCAGCGCATGTCCAGGCCCGTCTGAAGTTTGCCAGTGACCATCTGGATGATCCAGAGGAGGAATGGGAGAAGGTCATGTGGTCTGATGAGACAAAAATAGAGCTTTTTGGTCTAAACTCCACTTGCCGTGTTTGGAGGAAGAAGAAGGATGAGTACAACCCCAAGAACACCATCTCAACCATGAAGCATGGAGGTGGAAACATCATTCTTTGGGGATGCTTTTCTGCAAAGGGGACAGGACGACTGCACCGTATTGAGGGGAGGATGGATGGGGCCATGTATCACGAGATCTTGGCCAACAACCTCCTTCCCTCAGTAAGAGCATTGAAGATGGGTCGTGGCTGGGTCTTCCAGCATGACAACGACCCGAAACACACAACCAGGGCAACTAAGGAGTGGCTCCGTAAGAAGCATCTCAAGGTCCTGGAGTGGTCTAGCCAGTCTCCAGACTTGAACCCAATAGAAAATCTTTGGAGGGAGCTGAAAGTCCGTATTGCCCAACGACAGCCCCGTAACCTGAAGGATCTGGAGAAGGTCTGTATGGAGAAGTGGGCCTAAATCCCTGCTGCAGTGTGTGCAAACCTGGTCAAGACCTACAGGAAACGTATGATCTCTGTAATTGCAAACAAAGGTTTCTGTACCAAATATTAAGTTCTGCTTTTCTGATGTATCAAATACTTATGTCATGCAATAAAATGCAAATTAATTACTTAAAAATCATACAATGTGATTTTCTGGATTTTTGTTTTAGATTCCGTCTCTCACAGTTGAAGTGTACCTATGATAAAATTACAGACCTCTACATGCTTAGTAAGTAGGAAAACCTGCAAAATCGGCAGTGTATCAAATACTTGTTCTCCCCAATGTAGTTAATCTGAAACATTCTTATGAGAGTTTGAAAACAACATGTATTTAGTTTTGCCCGAAATAAGCACAACTTTTAAATCAGCAAGGGATTCCTGCATAGCTATAAAATCTGACTGTAGTTTTAACACAGCCAGATCAACAGTCGGGGCAATAGCATACATAATAGTATTATCCGCATATAGATTATGTTTACCATTTTTAACAGATTGACCAATGGTGCTTTTATAAATAGTGACGAGAACAGGTCCCAAAATCGCCCCCTGCGGTACACCTTTATGTACTTCAAGAAATTCAGACTTAACCCCATCAATCACGATGGCCTGAGTTCTGTCAATAAGATAATCATGAAACCATGAACAGGCGTCTATCGAGGACAATTTATTCAATAAAATAGCATGATCAACAGTATCAAACGCTTTTGACAGGTCCACAAACAAAGCAACACATTTCATTTTAGTGTCATTAGCAACTAAATTGGTTGCTGTAATAGTGCTATGTCCAAGCCTAAACCCTGATTGGTTTACATAAAAAATTAATGTATCAGATAAAAAAAGAGCAAAGTTCTACATTTACCAAGGATTCAAGAATCTTAACTAGACAAGGAACACTACTATCCCTGCCCTTATGGAGTGGCAGCACAAGAGCTGATTTCCATACTTTTGTAATATTTCCTGATAATGTTAAATAAATAATGTGGATTATTTAGCCAACAATGATGGGCGCTGCACACTTAAGCAGACCGGGATCCAATTGGTTGGCCCCTGTGGATTTCTTGTTGTCTAGTGCTAGCAAAGCATCCAGTACTTCTTTTTCTGTAAATAGCCTAAAAGAAAAGCTCTGACTATCATTTCTCTGATCATTCAGCAAGTTTCCCCTATCAGCATCCAGCTCAATATCATTGTGAATAGGCTTTGAAGTTATTTCAAAGAGATAGCCTGCTGAAATAAAATAGTGATGAAATGCATCAATGATGTCTTTTTTCCCGTAATGAGGCTAGTTTCTGAATTAAATTTGTTGTGGCAGAGGAGGAAGCTGAACTCTCCAGAATTTAGCCAGGTTCCCATTACAATCCGAAAGAGCAGTTCTATAATAATTTAGCCTTTCTGATTTGTCTTACACAAAAGCTTGCCAGTCCGGGCCTAAGCCTTTGTTCCTGGCCTTGACCGAAGCGTCATCTCTTTTATGAATGACTTTTGATAATTCCGGAGTGTACCAGGCATTCGATCTACCAGGCATTCGATCTACCTTTAACCCTTAATTTTTTTAAGGGAGCATGATTATCCACAATAGTATTGCAAAAAGGCTTGAAGCTAAATGCACATCAGAGAGATATTTCACCATATTCTTTGTTTATGTTTTTTGCAAGGGTTAATTGCCACGTGTAGGAAAGTAAAGGTACATTTGCACAGAAATAAACTCACTCCAGTTCTCTGCTGAGCTGGGAGGCCCTGATGTTCTTCACCTTCTCATCAGCCTTAGAGTTCAGGTCAGTTATGTAGTCCTTAAACTGGTCAATGGTCTTCTCCCAGGGAGTTTGGGGCTCATCTTGCATGGGTAGCACCCATGCATGGCAGCCTATAGTTAAGAGAATGGAGCAATTGATTGATTTAAACCAGTTGCTATTTGTATTGCCCCCGTCAATCATCCTGTTGGGTAATGTTTCGGAAAACAAATATTTTTCTAGAGCTGATGAAACCTCAATGATTTTCTTAGGTTGCGTCCCAAATGGCACCCTATTCCCTATTTAGTGTACTACTTTTGACCAGGGCCTATAGGAAATAGGGTGGTATTTGGGACACATACTCAGTAGAAGTGAAAGGTTACCTGAGAGGACGGCTAGAGCCAGGATTACTGCGACAGCCTTCATGGTGATCTGCTGACAATACACGGAAAATATCTGTTTATACAACAGTAATATACCATTCTGATTCAGTGATTTTATAACAATATTATATACAGGATAACTGATTTATGTTATATACAGGATCACTGATTTATGACAATTATATACAGGACTTTATAAATGCCCTTATTCATGCGCTGGAACTTTCTCAGTTTACAAAAACAACCCGAGCACTACTTACACAACATGGAATCAATTAATATTAGTAGTATTCACACACTTTTCTTGTTTACTGAGTTACGAACAGTCAAATTTTGTATATCATCTTGAAAGTAAAACAACAATGATCAGGTGATTAAAACATAGTATATATATTAGTAAATAACTTACATTAGAGATCCTCTGTGGTGATGATACTGTAAGTAAACACTGACAGACGTTCACTGAGTATTTATACAACTTTGATTGCTCTGATGCGATCCCATAAATGCAAGGTGAATGTCCAACCTGTGTCCGAAGTTCCCAACACAAAGTGTGTTGTAATTATTTATTGCTGGATTATAATGTTGTTCCATGTTGCACAATCAAGCTGTTAGCACTATCAAACACTATCAAGCACTCTCAAAAGAACACACAAGATACACATGATACATACACGTGATTCACAGCTTAATACATTCCTGTAAAAGCATCTAATAAAAGCCCCTAATATGCTGAGACTTAAAGGTGAAACCAAATCCCTTGGTGGGCCTTCGTCATTGGTTTTACCTATCCTATCTTTTCAGATCAAGGGAAGGAGACAAGTAAAGAAAGACTCTTGTCACTATTCATAGTGTTAGCCAATTGGAAAGTGTCCTATCAATGTACTATTCCAAAGGTTTATGGATAATGACAAGAATGGCAGAGAGCATGCCCGATATCAGCAAGCTCAGATCACACTGATATGATGGAATATTGTTTAACGGCCTTTGGCCAGCAAGTCTTATGCTGTCATAGGTTATATTGGTCTCCAATACATTGGTCAATGTTTCTTGATTCTGTCTATAACCTGGAATACTTTTGACCTTTGAAGTCATTGTCAGTGTTTCAGACACCAGCACATGGATAGAAATGCATTGGAGGAATGAACAGTGAGTGAGAAGTTATTGCAGTGTTGTTACCACTACTGCCTCTGTTGCCACAACTGTGTTGCTTATAAAGAACATAAAAGAAGAAGAAGTTGAAGAATTAATTAACTTTGATCCTGTCCTATATTGATTTGCTTTCATATTCTGACTTGCAGTACAATGTCAGCAGCCTTCAGAAATTATTCATACCCCTTGACTTATTCCACATTTTGTTGTGTTACAGCCTGAATTCAAAATTGATTAAATATATTTTTTATCTCACCCATCTACACACAATACCCCATGATGACAAAGTGAAAACATGTTTTTAGAAATGTTAGCAAATGTATTGAAAATGAAATACAGAAATATCTACATACTGAACCAGGATTTCCTCTAGGAAATCAGCTAGTAACATTTTCAGACAGCCTCGGTCTATAAAATGTTTAGTGCAGCGAAGTGTTCTTTGATCCAATACTTGGGGGTCTATTCAATCTATATCGCTGAAGAGTTACAGATTGTGCGATAGAAATGTAAAGGTAAATTCCGAATGAAACGACATATGCAGCATTTACCATAAATGCGGTCTCTGCTAACGTGGGAACATTGCCTTAAAGGGCTGGATTCAATCTGTATCGCAGAAGATCCGTGTTAAAATGTAAAGGTAATTTCTGATTGAGCCGACATACAGCGTTTACCATGAATGCAGTCTCCGCGACCACGGGAATATTGCCTTTAATTGTCAATAACACTATAAAGCAGATCTTCTGCGATACGGATTGAATAGAGCCCTTGATTGCGTAATGAACAAATCACCTTTTGCTGTGATGTCATCATATTCTGATTATTGACTGAATTAATGCTATCTCCTGCACTGAATTGCAGGGTAGCATCTGATCGGAGGACGAGGTTCACAGCTGGAGATGAATGAATTGATCCACAGACAAATGTCAGAGTTTTAAAGAATATTTGTATTGCAACTAATACCTTTGATCTCCATATCACAGCCAGCACCAGGACAAAGACAACAAGCATTGTAGAGCCAGCCACTGCCAGGGGGCTGTAGTTCAAAGACTGGGGCACTATGGAGAAAAGGAAGCAGTCAAATTATGTTCATATGCAGACAAATTGAAATCTGGATCTCAAAGCAAGTTCCCCTCTAATCATGGGACTGATTTAGACCTGGGACAGCAGGTGGGTGCAATTCATTATCAGGTAGAAAACATAAAACCAGCAGTACTCAGATTCCAGGCTCAAATTTGAATACCCCTGTAATGTGTAGGCCTAAATGTTGAAAAAGGCCCATTGTTAGTCGCTCACCTTCACCATCAGACTGGCCCAGCCCCAGATCTGAAACAAACCTAGAGACACATTGTGCCTATCAGTCTGTTTAATTACCCGTCAACCAGGACATCCCACTGGGGCACTCTTAAGGCTGGGAGTTGACGTCACCCACCAGAATAAGGACAAGTTTGGGATCAGTTCTTCCCAGGATGTGCACTTCAGTATACACAGGCTCCCGCAGGACTTTAGTAACGGGGTAGTCTGCTGCAGTATAGTAAGACTTGCATGCCTCCACTCCTGTTGAGATCAGAAAGGGTTAATGAAAATGGTAATACTTTGTAAAAATCAGGCAATAATAGCCAACCATAAATTCCCTTACCCTCATTGCAATCTTTGCGAGACATTGGCCACTTGCCAGTCTGAGCTCTGCTCGAAGAGCTCCTGGGACAGCCACAGGGGAGGATAGAGGAACTGTTAACGTCAACAACCAGAGCCTCAACAGTACTGCCCAAATACCTACACTGGAAGAGCAACCTAGGGACAAGGGCATGTCAGTAAATTACTGGGATTCTGCATTGCAAATCAGACACCTAGGGCGGTTTCCTGGACACAGATTGAGCGTAGTCCTGGTCTAAGTCACTTTCAATGTAGAATCTCCATTGAACATGCTTTTCAGTCAGGATTAGACTTAATCCGTGTCCAGGAAACCAGCCCCTAAACTCACTGAAAGTGGCTGTCCCTTGTGATGGACGCAAGGGGTCCAATCCAAACTTCATATGAAGATGACATCTGTTTTTCATAAACCAAATAGCCTCCCTCATCCTGCAAGAGACACATTCTGAACCAAGATGGTTTCATGAAAACAAACTCAATAGATCAAGTCAACAAACTTACCAACATACTGGTGCCACATTTACTAACAGAAAACTGGAATATGGCAAAGGCAGCAGTGGTGCATCTCCTCCCAGCAGACTGATGGGCTAACTGCTGCCCAGAGGCATGGGCAGTTTGTCTGGCCTGCTGAGGTTGCTGAAAAGCTTGACCCAATGGTTTCTGTGACGATGGTCTCCATGGTTGTGCGTCACACAAACAACAGCCACAACTCTGGAAACAAGGCGCGCACGTAGACAAGATGGCGTATTGAATTGAAAGCGGTACAAACCACCTCAAGATAAAAACATAATATTCGAAATCAGTAAATTAGACTAAATATTAGCATTTCATATATTCGCAGTAAATAAAATTCTATCTGGATAATAACACAAAACAAATCATAAGGCTAGAGAAATATATCAACAAATATTACAACAACACGCAACACCCAAACATGGCGGAAGATAAACGAGGAGAACCAACTCGTCGACTGATACAGATGATTTATGCTTTTCATCACTGGGTCTGGTAAGTGTGGAAAGCGACCTGTTGAAGTCGATAAATGACAAATTGGGCATACTAGAATTGGTCAGTAAGAACGTAAGAGAGTTGAAAGCGAGTCTTGAAATGAGTGACGAAAAAGCATCGATAATGGAAACAGAAACCAAAAAATTAAAAGTGACAGTAACTAAGAAGGAAACGGACGTTAGGGAACTTAAAAAGGAGAACAACCTTCTGAGAGAAGCCTTACTAGACATCCAAACTAGATCGATGAGAGAAAGTCTAGTACTTACGGGTATTCAGGAAAAGGAGGGAGAAATAACCGAGAATATTATGAAGGATTTCCTGCATACAGCGCTTCAAATACCACTCGAGGCTGTCGATAAAATCCAACTCAAACGTGTACACCGTTTCGGACAAAGAGGACAGAAATATGATCGCCCAATCGTTGCCAAATTTGCATTTTTGAAGGATAAAGCTATGGTTAAAAGCCTAGGAAAAAGACTTGCTGGCACGAAAGTAGGCATGAATGATCCGTTCCCGAGGGAGATTGCAGAAAGGCGCAAAGTTCTGTATCCAATCTTCAAGGAAAATAGATTAAAAGGGAAACGTGTGGCACTTGTGGTCGATAAACTATATATTGACAACCAAATGTTCAGAGACACAAAGACTACTCCATGGCTATTCTAAAAGTTGTAATAGAGGAGTTGAATAATGGAACACCCAATACTAGCAATGATAGGGATTGGAATATTAAATAACATTTATAGTAAGTATAGTATTTAAAAAAGGATAAAATGATATAACAAGAAAAGATAACAAGCAGAATAATACACCTTCAAATACAACTAATTAGAACATGGCTTTTTTGGCGCGCAATTGTTGTTTTGGCGGACGGTTGTTGAGCTTGGTCCTGTGTTCTCCCTGGCGTCCTTTCCCCCTTGCGGCAGGTGTGGGAAGTGGGTGCGTTTGCACGCTCGGCCCATTTCCTCCGCAGTCAACCATGTGGTGTGCATTTTTGTGTTTGGAAAGGTGCGGTGTTAATTGAGTGAGAGGGAAAATGGTTGCATATCCTAGATCCGACGGGTGTCTATGAGCAGGGGTAGTGAGAGAGAGCTTTCAATTTTGTGTAGATGAGGGATATACATTTTTAAATATAGTATACATCTAATTTAATTTTTTATTGTCCTATCATGATGGAAAGATCCCCAACCCTATATCCTGGACACCCACCTGAGTGACCCATACACCAAAGAGAAGTTCCCATCTCTTTTATGGACCTGCTGTGAGTATGCAGCCTAAACAGAGAAATAAATGCGGTTAGAGACCTACTTGAGTAGCACCGCCACCTCAAGATTCTGAGCCTGCCTGGCAGGGTTGGTCCTACAAAGCCAGAGCCCCCTGATGGGAGAGCATTATATACAAGGAAATTCTCAAAGCTGCTAATGAGAACCTTGACGACCTTTTACCTAGCCAGTGGGGATTCCGGTGGGGTATTCCCACCCAGGTAGTGGCAGTGCTGGCAACACTGGCTGCAGTAACCCATGGGGAGGGGGTCACACTCGGACAATCAGAGAGGGGGTTTATCATTGTGGCCCAGGTGGCACAAAATAATCAAAGGTCTGACTGCACGGAGATGCTTGGGAAAAATGGTTACAACGGGGGACCAGAGTGTTTGTGTCTCAGGTGAAGAGGGTGGATCTGATCTCCATCACCTGGGACTTGACATAGATTAAGTAGATTAATCAAATCTGACATTGTTGTCAATTTCTGCTCAATCTTGCATGCTTTCTCAATCAGCTGTAACTGTAAATCAGGTCCTTTCTTGAGTTGGGCTCTGGGATATAACAACCGTTGAGTATCTGATTTTATGGTGGATTGTGGAGGAGGGGGGATGAGTGTGTTGGAGTATGTGAGTATGTGAGTGTGTGTTTGTCTGGCATCTGTTGTGGGGGGGTGGGGATGTTGGGGGGGGGGGGGGGGGGGTATGGGATGGAGCACGGTAATTATTTGCTAGGATAAT